CACACAAGACAGAATTCGCCAAGGTGACCCCCAGCCACAGCTCTTTTTCTGAGAGTATGTGTTTCTCACACGGCTTGGAGGGGCTACAAGAAAGCACAGGGGAAGCAACGCAGTGTCTGTGCCTGCGTTCTATTTACGGAACAAGAGGTGTTTGCAGAGTCACGTACTCACCGTCACGTGTGATCAAATGACGGCACTGAATGGAGTCAAACGCCTCAGGTCAAACTACTTGAAATCACATCGCGGGCCCGATGACTTCTAATAATGATAGCTTGCATTAGTCTAATGGACTCCCGAGAGCTGACACCTGTATTCGTCTCCTTTTTGAGTGTGACCAAAGATCCATTAGCTGGCTGTTCTGTCCATTTTCTTGTCAAGGAACAACCAAGAATAGGATCGCGTCTCCAGAGAGGGCCCCCGGGAACCGTGCCTCCTATTTTTCAGCTCCTCCGGAGGTCCCTTCCCGCGCCGAGTCTGGGCTGGCCGCCCTGGCACCACTGAATGTGTCAGGCGACGCACTGTCCAACACGGGCAACTTCTCCTTTCGTGTTCTGGAACATTCCCTCTGGGAAAGCCAGTTCCCATATGCAAAGTCCCACCAGTGACCCTCAGTCTGCCATGCTGCGAGGAAGCCCATGTTGTCCGCAGAGAGAGAGAGGGAGAAGACCGTGCCCAGGCAGCCCCCAGTTGCCGCGGTCACCCCAACTGAGATATCACACGCGCGAACAAGGCAACCGTCTTGGACACCCGTCCCAGTCCAACCCCCACACAACGGCGGTCCTCGCCACCGTTTGGCTACAAGCAGGTGAGCACCCAAACAAGACCTGCCCAGCCGTTCCCAGCCCCTCACAGAACTGCGAGAGACACCAGATTGTTCAATTAAACCACTAAGTTTTGGGGTGGATTCTTACACAACCACAAGTGACTGGAAACCAATCTACTGGCTTCTATCATTTTTCCCACTGCAGCAAAAACACGGGTAAGTGAGAAATGGGACTTCAATCACCACTATCAGTGGGTATCATTTCCATGCAAAGAACTGGGGACCACTGGTTTCTACCTGGGCAGCAAGCTGGACAGTGGGGAGTCAGTTATTAGACAACAAGTACATAGTGTAAAAAGTAACGGGGAGTAAGTTCTGAGTGCTCATCTCTGCAATTCAGGGAGAATAAAACACCTTTCTAAGTTGCCTATTTTAGACAGAATGCCCTAGAAACAAAGCCTGAACTGTGGATTTCTATATTCTTGGGCAAGCACTTGCTGGGAAGTGGGTTCCAGAAGATATGGGTAAGGTAACCAGGGACACGGGATAAAGGAGAGGAGCTCTGAGTTGTGGGTTGTACCCCAGAGGTTTTCCTGCCCAGAGACCAGGAGGCGGGGCTGCTAGCGCACGGCCCAACCCCCCATCTCCCCTCCGTCAATCATTAGCCACAGGCAACCCTAAGGAAAGTGGAGAACAGGGTGGGCATAACTTCCCAGGCGCCTCCCAGTAAGACAGCCCTGGCAACAACAGGAAACTCCCCAGAAAACAGTACAGGGTGAGCCATTAGCCATAAGCTCTTCTGGTGGCGAACTGGGGGACCCTCCCTGGTAAACGGGATCTGGAAGGGGCACTCCCGGCCACAGCTGCAGCCCCAGTGCTGGGACCAGATGGGGAAACAAAGGCAGCAGGTGCCTGCTCTATGGTTCAGAGCAGTTTAGGCTTGTCTGCCAAGCTCCCAGACCCTTTTACCATTACGTCACATACCCAACACATTTATAGTTTCTACCTCCTTGAACTTATTTAATTTCCCCCCAAACAGAGTTAAGTAAATAGCAGCCCACTAAGACCGACAAGTGAACTGAGGGTTTGAGAACATGAACTTAAGGCCACTAGGCCAATCATCAGTCAGCAGAGGTGGGGTTCACCTCCAGGTCTCCTGATTCTAATTGCTTTTCCTCTCGGGTTACCTAACAGGGAAATTGGGAGAAAATGGATCTTGGTCTCAAGGTGTGGAGCCAAGGCCACTTCCTGGGTCAAAATACTTCTGTGAAGCCCCCCAGCCAAAGTGTCTGCAGCTTGGCCCTCCTCGCCGGCCATTCGGGGGGCTCAGTTGCGCTGCTCTGGTCTCTAGCTCGAGTCTGGGCTCCCTCAGTGAACCTGTGCGAGGAAGGAGTGTGCTTTGTCACACACCGGTTGTATCCAGTGCCAGCCAGTCTTTTGCCTGAATAAGGTCTGGTCTAGGTTAGCCCTTTCTGTGTACCCCCACGTCCTGTTGCCCCTCGTTTCCCTTATGGGCCCTGCCCAAAAGACAGATGCTCATGCCATACTTCGCCCCCCCGCCGCCCTTACCCACAGCCGCACGGACTTCACAGGAGCAGGGAAGGACGTCGCAGACCACAGTCCAGTAATAACAACTGATGGCTCTGCCATCGTGGCAAGAAAACCTTTAATCTCAGATTCTGAGCTTCTGCCTCTGTAAAATTAGTACTATGGCATTTCCTATTTGGAACTGTCATGGGGATTAGAAGCCACATATTTAAAATACCAAGCACAGAGCCGGTGGGCAATAAATGACAGTTATTTTTATGTGACAGACACACCTGCACAGGAGACAGACACGCGCGGGCCCCTGCCAAGAAAGCTGCCACTACTTGGAAGGCGGATGTCAAGGCCACAATTGCCTGATGCGTAGTTTCTACCCGTTTGCATGCCCAGCGGACAAGTCTCTGGCCTGCAGGTTCCCACCTCTCTCTCCTCCCCACCTCTGCAGTCTTGATGCCTCCAACTGCCCTCGTCCAGAGTGCCCTGCTCTGGTTACGCCCACCGCTCTCTGTGCCCCGGCTCCCTAGCACAACCTCCGGGCAGCTTTCCCGTGGCGATGTCGGGCTCTCTGTGGCCTGTCAGCTCTAAGTGATCTCGGTCATAGCTCTGCCAAGCGGCCTTTAGGAAGACTGTTCATCTGTTACTACTCCTGAGTGTTGGCATTGTGGTCGACTCTCTGTCACCTCCCCACCTCTGTTTATGATCCCTGGTGTCCACAGTCCCCCTCTCCGGGTACCAGTTCCTTAGCGTGAGTGGCAGTCCTCGTCGTCTGAAAGCAACCGAGGCAGGTCCCTTTCTGCACCTCAGTCCCCTCCCCTCTGTCCTGGAGCTGTGTGTGTGTAAATGAAATGAGAGAGCCCTGGCCAGCTCACAGTGTCATTTCCCCTGCCTTCCTGGCCCCTCCATGTCTTTTTTTTTATTTAAACCGAGAACTGTTAATAACTATTAGTTCTTGCTGCTGCATTTTCTTTTATACCCCCTAAGGGCTTAATTGCAAGTTAAACACGGAGTAGGGGCTTGAAAGAAAAACACAATGTTAATGAACATTTGTAGTCTTGGTTGTGACCTCTGATTTCCCCGAAAGTAAGCAGCAGGCACCCTGGTCATGAGTTTCTTCTTCCTACTCCTCCCTTTAGCCTCCTGGGATAGAAAGAGCAGCACCCCAGACGCGCTCAGGGGCTAAGCGTCATTTCTGCTGAATTTGCAGATTTTCATAACCAGTGTTGACAAGGTTTTGGCACTATCTGATTCCTGGGGGAAGGGAGGGGCGGGGGCTGTCTTGACTCAGAAGCGTCATCTGCTGTGAATGTTCTAAACGTAGTAGCCGAGGTCCTACACAGCTGCTCTCAGCTGCCTTTCCCCAAAGGACGCCACCCAGAAGCCCCCAGGTTGCCCTGGGCCTGGACTGGTTCAGGCAGGAAGCTCACTCTGTCCATTTGGCATCTCTGTCTTTGCTAACGTAATTGGTACTGGGTGTGTTTGGGGAGGCACCAGGTGCCCATCTGGTTCCTGAGTCATGGCATTTGGGCCTGGAGGAAGGCGGGCAAAGGTCAACCACAGGGCACCCTCTGAATGTGCCCGGGCTCACATGAGACTTAAGTGCCCGGGCCAGGTCTGGAGTGAGGGTTTCTTACTCCTGTGCCTTCCGACTAGAGATGTAGCCACTGGAACCCGAAGCCCTTGCCCATGGCAGACCTCCGTGAACACATCCTCACCCAGGGCCCTGCATCCCCAAATCAGTGATCATTGAATTTCCACCCACTGATCGTTTCAGACTGGACCACCCCCTCCATGGACTGTGCCAGCCCCAGCTGTTAGATCATGCATGCCCCTGGTGCCTGGTCCTTCCTCCATTCCCACCCGCCACCTTTTGTCCCAACACTCCCTGCCTCCAGCATAGCATCCCCGTGAGGGCACAGGCCTTTTGCAAAGGCCACCCCTCTTGGGAGTCAGAAACCTCCCACTGGGGTCTCCACTTTGTTACCAAGTTCCTGGGCAGCTTGGCAACTCAATTTAACTTTTCTGGGCCTCCCATTTCTTCAGCTCTGAAGTAGGGGTGGGGGGCGGTGATAAAAGCAAGCTCCGGTGCTGCAGAGGGAAGCACCATGGCCACTGCAGCATAAGGGGCAGCCTGCTTCAAGGATTCCTGCCACGCCCTCTGGGGAGCTGTTTTTTAAAGGCAACGTAGATGGCTTCTAAAGAGGAAGGTCTTCTCTCCGCTCTCTAGGCAGGGCCTGGGGCGTGGGCCATGCTCAGGTCAGGCCGGGCTGCAGGTGCTGAGACAGAGCGAACGTGACTCACTTCCCTGCGAGCACTGCTGAGAACACAGTCTCCTCCTCGCTCCGTCTCTCTGACCCCGCACACCTCTTGGGTTGGATGACCTTTGGCACCAGGGACGGAATCTGTCTGGTGAAGTGAAAAAGAACTGCCTCTGAGGCCAGGCCTTTTATTTGGGGTTCAGAAAGAGTGGTGTAGAAAGAAACAAAATGGGTGCTTGGGCTGTCTGTGGACCCCGACCCTGGCTTACTCACAGTCAATGTGAACCTGGGCACGTACGTTCCTTATCTTCATGCCTATTTCCTCCTTTTTGAACGTGCCATAATGATTCCTACTTCCTGAGGTTGCTTGGGGAAAAATTTCAATGAGTTTCTGCATGTAGAAAACAATCAATAATGTCCATTTCACTCCTCTGCCGTAAGTATAAACTCTGTCAGGAAATGGCTTTATTTTGCTTCTTTGTATTTTTCATTCTACCGTAATGAGTATGTTTTGCTTTCAAGAGGAAAAAAGTCCAATTGATTTAACCCTGCAGAAGGCTGACTGCAGGAAGGCAGCAGGAGAACGCTGGGGCTCCTCCCACAACCCAGCTGTGCGGAGGCAGAAGACACCACAGCATCGTGCTGACCGCCAGGGGAAAGGGGGTGCTGGGTGGAGGTGGCAAAAGGGGGGATGGGATATTTGCACTAGTATCAACACTAAAGTTTTAAAAAGAGCTGCAATAGGCTTGCACATGGCATTTACATGTAAAAATGCACCCTGGGGACTCAAGACATAGACACACCAAAGCCAAAAGGCTTCCCTGTAGTCGGCTTGTCACAGGATCTGTGAGATGCGGACACACGGACATTTCGTAACTCCTCCTTTCTATTCTAATTTGCTCCACAGAGACCCGTGGCCACCTGGGGCAGTAGACACAGTCCCAAGGTCATTCTGAAGGCCAATGCTTTAAACCCCTTCATTGTAGGATTGGCCCGCCTTGACTGTGGGTTTCTCCCAGCGCTGAGCTCAGGAATACACACACGCGGCTCTCTGGGGCACATGTGTATCTATCCCAGGGAGCTTCTCACGCGTTACTGACGGCTTCTCCAGTCTCACCACCGCTTTGCCTGCCTTGGGTTTGCGCGGGGTTACAGTCCGCACTCAGGGACCTGCTGAAGTCGGGACGGGGTGAAACCGCCTCCTCCAGGAATAGTAGGGCGTCTCAGTGAAGATACATCTTACAATGCAAGTAAAAAATAAATCAGATGACCACAGCACGGCATGAAAATTAAAAAAAAAAACACAAGAGAAGAGGGAGGGAAAGATGAACATAACAACCATGAATTTTTTTTTTTTTTTTTTAGTAACAAAGGAAAATGGATTCTCCAATGAGTTCAACATAGACAGCTAATTTGAGTCAGGGGCAAAGTACTTATATTCGAAAAAAGACAGTGTCTCCAGAATTTGTTTCTTTTTTTTCTTTTCTTTTTTTTGCAGTGAAATCTTTTAGTTCCTTCATATAGAGACATATTACACAATGTTAACAACCATGAAAAACAATACAAAATGCCCTCAATTTAACAAGTAGAAAAATATAACTAGTATATATGGCAATTGTGAATCTAATACTGTACAGAAGTAATTTATGGATTTTACAAATAAATTATAGCTTAAATGCCCTTTTAAAATTATTTCCCCCCTAGATGTACCCCGGAACTTACAGTAGGAAAGGCTCTGAGCCTAGCTTACGACAAGTCAGTGCCAGTCAAATGTTCTGCCCACAAGCTCAAAGAACTTCTTATTTGGCTCGTGAAAATATTCGTGCAATTTATTGAGGAGTTTGGGGTCCACTTGAGGGTGCGCGCGGCCTTTGGACTCGTGTAAGCAGCGGTCCCGGCCGCTGTCCCGCAGGCAGTAAAAGCCCTTGGTCTTGTTAAAGTAGAAGTTCGAGGCGTTGATCTGCGGCGACAGCTTCAGAAACCTCTCGACCTTCTGGATCTCGGGGAAAGGGTCCCTGATGAGGCGGTCGCCGTCCACGATGTGGATGTGGCGCAGCGGGAAGAAGTGCAGCCAGTTGCGCATGTGCACGTGGTAGAGGCTGCGGTTGAGCGCCTTGTAGTCCACGTTGAGCCGGCCGTCCCGCACCAGGAACTCCTCGATGGACGGGTAGGGCTTGCGCTTCTGCACGTGGTTATACAGCACTTGCGTGTAGTCCGACAGCACGCGCTCCGACGGGTCCCTCAGGATGAGCAGCAGCCGCATGGCCGGGTTCATGCTGTGGACCCGCTCAGGCACTTTGGGCGATGTGAAGTATGCGGGGGTCTTTTCCACCGTGAGCTGGTGCGGGGCGGAGAGGGGCATCTGGCTGAGGTACCAGCCCAGGCCTTGGCTGTAGTGTTCCTCCCAGTCGAAGAAGTGCACCTCGTTCTCGGCGGCCGCCACGTCGGGGTGCAGGCTGAGCATCTCCAGCAGCGCGCGGGTGCCTCCCTTGCGCACGCCGATGATGATGGTCTGCGGCAGCTGCTGGGCTGAGCCGTTGGGGGCCACGCCATCCAGGGCCTCGTCCTGGAGGGCGGCCGCTTTCCGCGCAAGCTCCTGCTGGCCTGGCTCGGCCCCGGGGCGCGAAGGCACTAGCTGGAGCTGTGCCACCAGCAGCACTGCGCCCAGGAGCAGCGTGGCCATGCTGGACACCACAGTGGCTTCACTAGGCTGGACGTCGCAGGGTCATGAAGTGCTCCCGCAGGAAATGCCTCCTGGTCAGTGACACATGGGTGTCGCAGGTAGCCAATTACTAGGAAACAAAGAAGAGAAAATGTTAACCCCAAATCCACAGACTTAATGGAGCTAAGACTCTGGAGTCTTGGGCAGTGCATTCACCTCCCTGGGGCTCTCTCAGGTTTTTGATCCTATGAAGCAGAGGGTGGCAAAGCTTCCGTGCAGGGCCAGACGGGAAAGGGTTAGGCTTCAGGGACAAAGAGTCTCTATGGCAACCCCCAGTACGCTGTGTTGCTCTAAAGTAGCCACAGACAATACACAAAGGAATGGGTGTGGTTGTGTGCCAATAAAACTTTATTTACGGACACTGAAATCTGAACCTCACAGAATTTCATGTGTCATTAAATATATTTTTGTTTCCCATACAGTTTATATGTTCTCTGTTTGCAGAGAGAGAGAGAGAGAGAGAGAGAGAGAGAGAGAGAGAGAGAGAGACTTGTCCCTGCCACCATAGTTTGCCAAACTCTGTTATAAAGGAAAGAGTTGGGAGGGCCTTCTGGACCTCAACAAACACCAGCGGAGCTCGCACCCCCTGCCAGCCCCAGGTGCAGGGGCCGGTGATACAGGGGCAGACAACGCTCCTGGCCGTGCCCACCAGGAGCTCCCGATCTAATAGCGCAGGTCAGCCTGTATGAAAGATTGTTTGGTTTCAATTCTTCGGCTCTCCCGGCACCCAGTTCTTGGATGTGCACCACGGCCTCATTGTGGAGGGGATGTGCTTCCCAACAATTTGATTTGTGTTTGGCCGCTGGCGTGTGGGCAGACATGACAACGCGTCAGTCCCCAGTCCTGGCCTTAAGAGGCCTCGTGTATCTCCCCTGGCCCTCTTGCCATAAGAAGCGTGTGCCCTGGTCAGCCCCTGGTCCCAGGAGGAGGAGGAGAGACAGGTAAAGCAGAGCCACCGGGCTTGTAAGTGGGAATGCGTCCTGGTGGTTTTCAGCCACTGAGCTTTGGTGTGGCTCTTGCAGCAGCACGAGTTCGGGAAAGGCTGACCAATGCAACCTGACTCCCGGCACTGACACGGTGAATGTTAGGACCATAATTTAGGCAGGACACCGTGAGGGCATATGTTCATTCATTTTGCCTGAAACAGTTGGGGGGGGTGGCTTCACAGTAGAGGGAATGCTTGAAGTGGGGCCAGAGGGATAAACACGTGAGGTTGCTAGAAAGATGGAAAACCTTTCATGCATGCAAAGCTATATTATTTATAAAGTGGTCTTGGGGTCTGCTCAGTTGACTTGTCACCACAACCCTACACTGTACGGTAGGGTGGCAGGATAGTTATAGAGGAGAGTCTTGCTCAAGGCCACCACAAAGTTCATTTCCAAATTCAGAGCCCAAATTCAAAACTCTAAACTCAGGGCTGTCTTTCCACAAACGGCCTCCTTGATGCCTTCTCCTCTTTCCCCATCTGGGATTTGTCCCAGTTGGGCATTTGAGTCCCTCAAGCACATCGGCAGTGCTGGGCAGGAGGGCACCCAGTTCCCAAAGACGGATGAGTTATGGTTCGTGTTTTCTGGGTGCTGATGAACAGTCCATGTTCGACCCTCTCCCAGACAGAGGGGAGTGGGAGCTGCCTTTTGAGAGGTCCCTGCCTAACTACTAAACACAGTTAGGGATGTCTTAGAGACAGACCAGGCTTGGGGACTTGGGCATTTCCAGGACCGGTGAAAATGTTCCCATCAAGGGGGGCCCATCATCTTCTTTAGACCAGGTTTAAAATTCACTTCATTAGTTTGAAACTTGTCCAGAATGCATAAACAAAGAACCACACCAGGGCAGATTGGTCTATTTCCCTTAGATGCCAACTGTATTAACTGTTTGGAAAAAGTGTATATTAAAGAACAAGGAATCAAATAGCTGGAAACCTTTAGAGAATCACCGGATGCTGGAGAAGACACTGGCAACATTGACTGGCATAACTGTTTTGGGGAAAAAAAAGAGAAATATTTAAGGATGGCTGGCCAAACAAGATGTGGTTCAAGGTTGGTTCTACTGATTGGATAAGCTCAATTTAATGGGCCATTTGCTTTAGTCAATTGAACATTTCAGTATGTTTCAGGAAAATTCCATTTCCTTCTCAGCTGCTCATGTGGGACTACGGAATGGACCGGCTGTGTGTGCCTTTTCCATTTGTGTGTGTGCATGCGTGCACATGTGTGCCTGTGTGGGTCTGTGCGTGCACGAGTGTGGGTGCGTGTGTGCACCTGTGCAGGGGGTGGGTTGGGTGAAGCGGTGGGCGGTGCTGTCTCCATCTTATTGCTCCTTATTCCGACCCCAGAAACCACTGCTGGTCCTAGTCCCCCAGCACCGGAGTGCCAGAGTTGGAGGCCAGGGTCGGAAAGCCCTAGTGCATGAATGTTCTTCCCACCCTACTGCCAGGCGTCCTGCTCAGCCTGGTGCCCCTCCGAGGTCTATTTCCTAAAGTGGAATTGCCAGCAGTCGCAGAGAGGAGAAACTAAATATAGTGTGTCCTTTCAAAAATAGAAATAAAAGAATAATAAACTGGGCAGTTAGTCGTTTAAAAGCTCTTCATTTCTACTTTAAATGTTCAAAAAAATGTATTTGCTTATTGTCAGCCTTCTACATTCCCAAAATATTTAATATTTGAGCTATAGGGAAAATAAAAGCTTAGCTAAAATCTCATACACACAGAGAGACAGGCAGAGAGGGAAATAGAGAGAGGAGCATGTATGTATGAGCTATATATAGAGAGAGCCATATGTACAGCATGTGCATGTATGAAACTAGCTAAGTTATGATGCACATATACATTATGTATATATGCATTCATACACACATGCATATCTACATGTATGTATAAAATATATCACGCACCCACATCCACAATGACCATCAAGAGCCAGCTTCTTCCTGTGGTCATCTGCTCATTTGAATTTCTCAGAGGCATAGTTAGAATTTCTCGGCCTTTTAGAAACACTCTGAGAAAAGCAAAGATCTCCAAGCTTACCGGTGGGCCTGTGAGCCAGGACATCTGAGCCACACGGATCTTGACAATGGGATTACGAACGTCAGAGCAAAAGAGGGTCACAGTGAAGAGTCCCTGCCTCTCACTGCATAGGTGAGCAGGCCCCCAGTGACTTGTCCCAGGCCACACAGACAGTCCCGGCCTAGAACCGGTGGCTCCTCAATTCTACTTCTCTGCTCTCTCTGCCATTACCACTGCCTCCCCACTAGTGGCAATGTTTTGGGGGTCCTAAAACAAGAAAGTGCCCCTCCAAACCCACTAGCAGTGACAACTCCTGGCCAGCAACTCCAGAATCAGCTGATACATGGGGTACATACAACATAGGGTCGAACTCATTCATTTGTTCTATTTAGTAGAAAAGTCAAAAGAAATTGCACAGGCTACGGAGTGAGAAATCCTTTCTAGGTTTGACTTAACCTCTCCTAGTTGCCATCTCCTACCTGCAACGTGGTAATGATTCCACCCCCTCAACGGTTACCTTGAGACGGGGTGTCAGGGAGCTACTGTGCACAGACAAGCTCTCTCCAGCAGCAAACAGTGCGAGCCACGTGCACTTCTCCACCCACCAAACAACTGTGTCTTGAGTTTGTGGTACAGAGCTAACATTTTAGTCTGGCATTGAGAGGAACCCCCCATTTCACCAATGCCCTCTGTCCTCTGCAATGCCACCCACGGCCCCCCCCGTGGTAGTCACACAGAGGGGGAATTGTAGAGACAAGAGTATGGCCCAGTTTCTGCACTTCCTCAGAAAAACGGCAGTCTCCTCAGGCAACGAGGACATCTCATGAGGTAACAGTGACTCTTCCCAAAGATGACAGTAATCACTGTGTGTCTCTGATACTTAGTCAAATCTTGCCCTATGACAAATCATGCATTGTATTTACTTGTATCATAAACGTTAAAATGACCCACTCATACACTTAAAAATTTTCTAGAAGCCACAATAAAACAATGCAACTTATTGGAATTATAGGATTTTCTAGAAGCCACACTAAAAACAATGCAACTTATTGGATTATAGGATTGTACACTCAAAACCTACATGATTTGATTAAACAATGTGACCTCAATAATTTTTATTGTGTTTTATTGCTTATGCTATTATAGTTGACCCCAGTTTTCCTAATATTTAATACAATGTAAAAAAGAAATATTTAATGTAAACCAATATACCCAGAATTTTATCACCATATACATTTAAGATGGTATTTTTGCATTGTTTTGTGTGTTAAGTCTTCACAATCCAGTAGGTACACGTTTATTCTTCCAGCGCATCTCAAGGCCACACATGGTCAGTGGCAACTGGGGTGGACGCCACAGAGACACAGGGCATGGAGCAGAGCGGGGATGCTTACCTGGAAGCCCTTGTAGGGTGCCAAGTGCTCTCCCACAGGCAAGACCCCCCCCCTGCCCCCCCCCCCCCCGCTCACAAATGAGGAGCTTCCTAACCAGGAAAAGGACCAGGGAGGCAAGTTTGAGTTAGCAGACAGCACGAAGACAAATTCATTCTTCTCCCACCAGAACCGAACCAGGTAACATGGAACAAATGGAACTTTCTGAATGTCTGAGCCCTGAGCTGGCAAGGACAGGCACAGGGTGCTTGGCAGCATCTGGAGCCCAGGCCACGCCCCTCGCCAAAAGCAGTGGTGGCTGCTGCCGTCGGTGGCACTTGCTCCTGAGCAGACCCCAGTCTGGCGACTGCAGGTAGGGCCCTGAGCAGGCTCAGCGCAAGTCCCCAAGAGAACTAACAGCCTCACAGGGGAGCGAGGCTTAAGAGAAATTAAGTGGGAAGCTCGGCCCAGGCAGGCAGAGCCTCACTCCCCCCTTCAGTCCTCGGCAATGCCCCATGAGAGCAGCAGTAGGGCCTGGGCTCCTCGCCGTGAGCTCCCGGTCCTATTGACCCTTCATGCCTGGCATCAGGTCTTTGCTGAACCAGGGTTTCTTAGAAGGGCCCCAGACGAGGATGCACAACCGGAACCCCTCCTTCTCTGCGTGGATGGGTGCAAAGGGCCCGAAGTGTGATCCAG